AAGAAAGAAAGAAAGAAAGAAAGAAAGAAAGAAAGAAAGAAAGAAAGAAAGAAAGAAAGAAATTATGAGCTGGTGAGCTGGGTATGTTGGCACTGGGGAGGAAGAGGAAGGTGGATCCCTGAGTTTGAGACCTGGTGTACAGAGTGAGTTCCAGGAAAAAAATAGGGCTACACAGAGAAATCCTGTGAAGAAGGAGAAGAAGAAGAAATAGAAATAACTATGAAATTCACAGGTAAATGGATAAAGCTAGAAAAAAAAGATCATCCTGAGTGAGGTAACCCAGACCCAAAAAGGCAAATATGACTTCTCTTACAAGTGTATGTTAGCTTTTAACCCTTTGATAGGCATGCTAAAATCTATATAACCACAGAAAACAGAGGATTAAATAGGGAGGGGGATAGAAGAGAGAAGTAAAGGAGGGAATAAAGGGAGGAACAAATAACTACAGGTCATATGGAAACCTCCTATGGTAGAAGCTTCCTAAAATATATACATGTATGAAAGATATCTAAATAAACTCACTAAACAACATGGGAGATAAAGCCTCAACTAGTCATCTGTCACTACCAAGAGAAAACTCTAGTGCCAGGAATGAGTTACATCTAAGTGAGTTGTTGGCCAAAGGGGCTCTATTGGAATGCCCAAACAACCCAGGCTATTGCCAAGGTATCGTTTGCTCTCTGAAAACTGATGGTAAGGCCCAACTGCTAAAAATGATACTGACATACCTCACTGAATATGGAGGAGTTGAGCTAGTGCCCAGCTAGAGCCTTTATTCCTACCGACTACTCTTTATGGTAGCGGAAGGTACTCTGAACACTACTGAGACAGTTAGGAGGGCTTGAGATGATTCAGTCTGGGGTTCTTGATCGGTTTCGTTTTATCTGCTAGTTAAAGATTAAAAGTCAGGGAAAATGTGAAATACAACAGGTAGCACCAGAGAAATCTCAAGCACAGCAGACAGAATCAGCAATTGAAGAAGGGTGTTTATTGAGGTAAGGAAACACACACACACACACACACACACACACGTGCCTCAGGCACACACAGAGAAAGACTCTCTGCAAAGGAGGGGGAAGGGTGAGGGGCCACGACACTCAAAGAGCCAAAAACACAGTCTCTTCTCTAGGGCTGGGCATTTAAAATCTTGCGAAGAGTTTTCTTCCCCTAATTTAGGGTTGGTAAATTTAAGAAAGCTAGGATGGCTGATTGGCTCAGAACTGCTGTGTGGCATCTCCAGAGCAGGCCTTGAACTCTAAATTAAGCTGGCCCATCACCAGGAGGCCTACTGGTGGGAGACAAAAGCCTACAGAGCCCTTGTTTTAAGGTACCAGGCTTTTGTCTCAAGCCAGGAGGATGAGAAAGAAACTGGCTCTTCTTGAAAGTTCGCCACATTTATCTTCTAGTCATGGCCCCTCTCCCTATCTGTCTGCCTAAAAGTGAATCTAATTCCTGATCTCTCAGCACTGGAGGAGAGAGGTAAACAGCAACACAGCTACAGACCCTCCAGCCTGCAGTCTGCTTATACAATATGCTGGTGCACTAGTGACACAAAGGATGTTGGAGTAACCAACCATTCTCTGATTACATTTAGGGCCACTGCATGGGATAGAACCCAAGCTAACACTGCTCAGGTAGCCGAGAACCTGAGACTCGACCTAGGACCTTGGGGGGGGGGGGGAATCAAATACTGTTGTTCTCCTAAAGGAACATAGCAATAAAATGTCTCCTCATGAGATCTCACTACACCCATAGATCAGTGTCCCCCTCAGCCATTATCAGAGATGCTTCCTCCTGCAGTAGATGGAAACTAATAGAGACACCCACAACTGGACATCGTACAGAGACCTTGGAACACTCTGCCCCAAATGTGATGTCTTCATCCTGCCCTCAGGTTTCAGGGAACTATGTGGAAAAGGAAGCAGAAAGATTTTAAGAGCCAATGGAGATGGAAGACACCAAGGAAATAGTGCCTTTCTTTCCAGACACAACAGGACTTAATGAAGATATGAACTCACAGAAACCATGAAGGATAGACAGACAGGGCCTACACATGTCCAAGCCAGATGGGGTCCCAGCTCTGGATATGAGCCCCTACTCCTAACCAGGATGCTATCTGCCATTGACACTCACTTACAAAGGAAAAATTAGTGTTCTCTAATGGAGTCTTACTGGGTATAATTAAGCACATTTAAGGAAGACCCGCTGCCCCAAAGTACATGTCCAACACAAAACAAATTCAGTGGTATTTTTGGAGATTTTTTTGGTCCCAGGTTGCTTTGTTTGTTTGGCTCTCCTTTACTGGTCTTTTGCTTGTGTATTATGGTTTCTAACTGCTTTTAGGAGATCTGTTTTTATGTATGTGTCTGAGTGTATATGCCTCTTGTGCTTTTTCTTTCTTTATTTTTTATTCTTTTGTTTTTTCGAGAGGGTTTCTCTGTGTAGACTTGGCTGTCCTGTAACTCACACTGTATACCAGGCTGGCCTTGAACTCAGAAATCTGACCGCTCTGCCTCCCAAGAATAAAGACGTGTGCCACCACTCCCAGCTTTTTCGCTTGAGCGTTTCATTTATTTATTTGTATTCTGCTTTTTAAAAATTGCCTGTTTTCTAAAGAGAGAGCAAGAAGGCATGGAGTTGAGTGGCTGTGGAGTATCTGGGAGGAGATGAGGAATGGGAAATTGTGATCAAAGTTTTTATTTTTGAGTTTTGGTGAGTCTGAGGTATCGACACACGAGTTAAGTCACATCTGAGCTCAGTAGGAAAAGAATCTCACTTTATATTCCACTATCTCAGATGCTTCTCCTGACTCTCAATGTTCCTTCCTAGCTCGAGTATCATTTGGTTGGTGAGGATCTTGTTAGACCATCAAAAAGGCAGGGGAGAGTAGTCTGAATTGGGTTATGAGGCCCAGGAGGTACCTCACCTCAGCCATTGAACTCGCTCTGTGCTGGCCGTGAGTCTGTTCCAAGCTCCGGCGAGGGAGGCATCCGCCCACTCGGGGCATCTCCTGCCCAGTCTGCCCACGCGTGGAGCCCTGCTCTCTGGGAACTCACCTCCCCGCTCGGGGAGAGCCCGGTTAGGGCCGCGGGAGGCCCCAGTCTCAGACCTTCCCAGGGGCCGGGGAGTGACAGAGCACTCAGCGCGTGGCCCCGTTGATGAGCTTCCCCCGCCCGCCGAAGAAGTGGGGGAGACCGAACTTATAAGACACAGAAGGCAACAAACTTTTCAGTTGCGGTGGCTTCCCACAAGGCACAGCGCTTTATTTGCATGCGCGCTAACCGGGGCCCCTACTAAAAAGCCCGCGCATGCGCGGCGCGGGATGATGAAGTCAGCCCTCGAGCGCGATGGCCCCGCGGCGGAGAAGAGCTGGCTGCAGGAGGCAAGGTGGGACCGCTGTCCGCAGGCAGAATGCTCGGCCCAGAGTCAGAGGGAGCCGCCCGCCTCTTCATATTACGGTTGAATCCCAAGAGGCGTGGGGACCGGTAACAGCAAACCTAGCCGCCAAGCGCTGTGAATAGCTTATGTCATTCAACTAAAAATAGTCTTCGTTATGGAGTCTAGCTCTGCGAAAGGATAAACGCTTACAGTAAAGTGATTAACCGCTTAGGTCAACCTTTTTAAGATACATCCGATTTCAGAAAGTAAAATTCTAACCTTAGAATTGCTGTCTGTGGACTGGATACTATGTTCTTAGTTCTAACCTGTGAGTTAGTTACTAAGTCTGTGATCTCAG